CATCTCCATCATTCTTCTGTAGAAGAACCGGTCCCAGACAGCCTTCTCGCCCTCTCTTCCCTGTCCTATTTCACACCAAACACACCTCTCCCCTGCACCCCTACAGGACTCAACAGCATGTTTTCCGCTAGATTCCAACCAATGAAAACGGGCATGGCATCACATTTAAATCAGAAGCAGTTTGTCTCGATGGATGGTGACGGAATTGAGGAGAAAAACAGAATGAGAGAAACCTAGAGCTCATCAGCAAATGAAAATACTTATGAAATGACAAGAGGCAAAGGAAGGAGGATCATGGGAGCAGGGAGCAGGAGCAGCAGGCCTGCTGACGCAGCTTGCCAAGGGAGAGGGTGACATGACTTCTCCCGTTTCCCAGTCTTAAATCCTCGGCCCCATAGCTGGGCTCAACCAGAAGCCACGCTCAGAGGAAACACATCCTGACTACGTTAGTCCTCCTTCCCAGAGTGGGGGGGGACAGGAAATGACGAAAGTTAAACTCGATAAAGATGCTGAAAAAAAAATATGTATGGTTTTCTTTCTCTGGTCGTGAGTATCTTAAGAACGGGGAGCCCGTTTGTTCTGTGCCCAGGACCCATCATCAGAAGCTACAGCAGGGAGTTCAAGCCCTCTCTTCAACTGACCATCGCCGACCGCCTGTGAGCGCTTCCAGCCACTGAGGCTTGGTCATGTGACTTGCTTTAGCCAATGGAAACGGGTAGAAGCGACTCGCCCCGAGTCCCACCGGAAGCGGAAGATGAAGATGGCTATGAGGAGCACAGCGACAGTAGACCTTTCTCACGAAAGCTGACTCAAGCGATGTGTTACCACAACAGAAAGTAAAGGAATCCACGAATGTGCTAACCGGTGGTGCACATTTGAAGAGAAATCATGGCAGGCTTCGGGGACCCGCTGTGGTGGAGCGCGGTGAGAGCGTTAGGAGTCTGAGTCCAGGTCTGACATCGGGGTCTTTGCTGAGGGTCACGTCGCCCCGAATTCACGCTGCTCCGGGGCCGTCTCTACGAGTCAAGAACTACAGAACTGCCCCCTTCGACAGCCGCTTCCCAAGCCAGAATCGGACTCGAACTGCTGGCAGAACTACCTGGGCTTCCATCTCTGTGTGAAGGCGATGATGGAAAAGAGGTGATAGCTCCCGAGCGGTACCCGGAGCAGAGGCCACGTTTGCTGGGAAGATGTAACCTGGCTCTGCCCACCTCTCCTCTGTCCCTCTCCCCACGTGGTAAATGGGTACCTGAGTCTACGATGAGACCCTGAATCATGGTGCAACTACCAATAAAAGTTCACTGGAAAAAAATAAAATAAAAAAGAGTTTGAGTGCAAAGGCTAAGCTTGAGTACTGAACCTGCCAGCATTGTTTCTGTTGGCTTAGGGAGGTTTTACTGTCTTGGGGCCAGGGATGGAGCTCAGGCTGGGAATGTGCTAGTCTAACATGCATGAGCGCCTGGGCTCAGTCCCAGCGCCCAGTAAAGCCAGCTAGAGAGGTGCGTGCCTTTGGTCCTAGCGCTGGGGAAGTGGAGGCAGGATCCTGGGCTCTATAGCAAGTTCAAGACCTTCCTGGGATTTATGTGTCCCTGTCTTAAAACAAAAACAAACAAAACTCTCCTTTGTAGGCGCATTTCCCTTTCATCTGCCTCCTTCGGTTCTAACATCATCCTAAATCAGACCCAAGAAAGGGACTGAGAAGCCCTTTTCTGAGGGGCACATGGAGACAAACACCCTATGTCATACTTCCTGGGCGGAAGAAACGTTCTCCGTACTCCCGAAGATCCACCAACCTTGGTGTCTAAAATCTCACTCAGGTCCCGGGGACTTAGAGAGGACAGAGGCCACGAACAGCTTCAAGCATTAGTTGTTGCCCGTGTCAATAGCTTGACAGAGTGAGCTGAGAGGAAGGGAGTGCCGTGAGGCAGAGAGCAGTGCTACTACAGCCAGCAGACCACTGAATTATGGAACTGGGAAGTCCACCAGCCCCAGGGCACCGCTGCACTCTGTACTTCTCAGTTTGACATGTTCCCCTAGCCTCCTCTTAGAATCAGATGCTGTGTGGCGAATTGGGTAGCTTCTCTAAGCTTCAGATTCATAGCTCCCCAACTCCTGCAAAAAAAAAAAACCAAAACAAACAAACAAAAAAAACCCCTGCTTCTCTCCCTTGGGTGTGAATGCTCTTCCTGAAGCTTGGAATTTAACCTTTGAAAGAGATGAGCTCCTGAAGAGAGAATGAAGCTAGAGCAGAGGGCCCAGCTGAGTATCCTGGCAAGGTTTTCATTGGGAATGTCAAGCACTCTACAGTGAGCCCCATGAAACGGCTCATTCTTTAAGAACAGCCACCCGCTGGACAAGGGTCAAGAGTTCTCTATCTAGGTGTGTCCTCCTCCAAGGAGACTGTTTGGACAACTAACAAATGTCTGCCCTGTTCTGAGCCGTTGTGACATTTCTCTTTGGGGATAGCTGTAGAGAGACAGGATAAGATCCCAGGAAATTCACCAGGATTAGTTTTTAGGTTGTTTAGAAATTTTCCATTTGACTTAATAAGCTCATAGGGGTTCAACTCTAGACAATGAACTACAGATACCTAAGGAAAGCTGAGAACAGAAGAAATTAGTGTTCCCCAGAGAAGAAAACACCAATTGGTTATCTAAGATCAAGTGGTCACCCCTGAAAACATGTATCTACAAAAACATTGTACATACTAAGCAGGATATATATATATATATATATGTATATATATATACACACACATATCCATATATATATATATATATATATATATATATATATATATATATATGCATTTGAGAGAGAGCAAGGGGGTACTGAAAGGAGCTATGATAAGGAAAGGGATGGGGGAAATGTAATTATATTTTCATTTCAAAAACATATTCTAAAATTTCTATTTTTAAAATGTTTTAGCTTGATTGAAGAGTTTTATTAGTTGTTATAATAAGACTATTAATCAGAATTAATCACAAATCACTCTTGGGGTATAATTTGCACACTGTACAATTCACCCACGTATATAATTTTTATTTGTTTATATAATGATTTGTGTAGTATCTCTGTCCTTGTTAGTCCCTGACAGAGGAAATGACATATGGTCCCATTAATTACATCCTTAATGCCAGGGCAGAACATGACTCAGAGTATATGCTCAGTGTAAATTATTCTTTTAGAAAATATTTGTGTAGTGTGTGCATGCGTGCGTGTTGGAAGCTTGAACTCAAGTCGTCGGGGTTGATGGCAGGAGCCTTCCCTGCTATGTCGTCTCCCTGGCTCTTAAGACATAGTTTTCAATAAACAGATGGAATATATGAATATTTACCCTAAGCTCCATCCTTACAAACCATACACGTTTCCTGTTCTCAGGGAACGGAAGGAAAGCTAAGTGTGTAAACAGACGCGCCCAGGTGAACAGTAGGGACAAACGCAGGAGGCTGTGTAGCACAGAGGTGGGTCACCTAGGTCTGTCTGATTCATCGAGACTATCTCCAATGCCTCCTATCTGGAGACCCCTATCTGTGGTCTCCATTCTACCAGGCTCCTCAGGGATCGCAGGTTGGAAGCGTACACACGTGTGTGCTTCACCACACGCTTATGTTCCGGGAACTAGAGGAGACGCTCTCTGATAAAGGGGCAGCACGACCCCAGGTGAGCCGGTCCTGCTACTGAGCACTTAGGCATCACTCATCTCTGGTTCAGACCGTCTTGGTTAATAGGAATGGAGAGGAGGGGCAAGCAGTGGACACGCACGCAGTCACAGTTCACACTTGCATATCATAGTTTACCCAGCTATAAACCCAACATCTGTGAAAACCCCAAACATCTGTGTAAACCCAACATCCGTGCTTCAGAATGGCAGAGTCTGACTTAAATCTCTCTATTCCTCAGCAACAAAGCCACTGAAAGTGACCAATTTACAGGAAAACGGCCTAAAATCCCACCCAGTCTCTAGAGGAAGACTGTAAATGTTCTGTAGACATGGCAGTGTTACATCTCTCTCTCTCTCTCTCTCTCTCTCTCTCTCTCACACACACACACACACACACACACACACACACACACACACACACAC